CTTCGGTGGATGGCCACTGTCTACAACCTCTGTTGGACGTCATGAATGCGCGTTTGTGTTCAGAAACAATCCCAGACGACTGGGTGGCGGCGCAGGTGTCCATGATCTTCAAGAAGAAGGATCCTTCTTGCTTGGAAAACTACATGCCGATTTGCTGAACGTCAGTTGCTTACCGGTTGTCCGCAAGCACGTTGAAGCAGCGCTTCCTGCACGTTGGGCAGGACAGCCGAATCTGGCCATCGCAACGCGGTGTTCGTTCCAAGCGTTGCACAGAGGACGCCATCTTCATAGCAAGGAGACACCTTGAATTCGCGCACGCACAGCGCTACGGGTCGGCGTCTTTCCCGGCCCTTGACTGGCGGAAGGCCTTCGACAGCGCACACGCTCAGCGTCTGCTGCATGCGCTCGCGCGTTTCGGGATTACGCCCAAGTGCGTGCGCATCATCCGCTACATCACGACGAACAGGCGTTTCTTTGTGCAGTGGAGGATGTCGGTATCAAGTCGGACGAGCGGCCGCAGCGGTCGGGGGCATCGCAGGGATGCACATTCAGCCCTTTGCTGCTCATCGCACGAATGACGGCCTTACTTAATGCAGGATGCAGTCGCCATACTTCCGGAGCCACCGGCACAGGCATATCGACAGAAGCGACTAGCCGATATTGCTTTCGCGGACGACACGCTGCCGTTGGGCGCGGCGGCAGAGCATGTCCAGCAGTTCGCAGAGGCAGTAGCGCGGGCGGGCAGCGCATGCGGCCTCGAGCTGCATTTCGACAAGTTCCAGCTGTTACAGGCGAACTCATGGGAACAGGTCGTCTTCCGGGGGAAGGCCATACCGTGTGAGGACAGTATCGTGTATCTCGGCTCTTCACTGTCGACAGATGGCAGAATGGGCCGAGAGCTTGGCCGCCAGATTGGGGCGGCAGTTGCAGATATACGGGTGCTCCAAAAAGTTTAGAAGCATTCTTTTCTGCCGCTCAGACGGCGCTCGCAGGTGTAATTACCAGTCCCTGGTCGAATCCAAGCTGCTGTATACGCGCTGCCAGCAGGATGCTTCGCGAAGGCAGAACTCCGCGGACTCGATGGATACCAAGCTACATGCTCAAGACTTGTTTTACACATTCAGCCATCTTTGGTTTCAAGGAGATCCAACGCCACTGCATTACAACGCGCGGGCTTCGGAGCAGCCTCCGTGCGAGTGCGACGCAGACAGCTACTGTTATTTGGCCGTGTCTTACGCGAGCCAGAGCATTCGGATTTGCGAGAGGTCACGTTCATGCCGGGCCTCCCTTCCTTCCCCGCCACCGGCAGGTACGTCCGCCGAGTTGGGGCACCCAGGGAAGAACGGGTTCGAAGTGTTCTGCCCGACGCAAGCCGCTTGACCGGGGACAGTTTCCGACCTCAAGATGCAGTGAGTGACGCCTCAATGTGGCGCCAAGAGTGCGCTATGTATGTTTGCAGAATTGATCTGCCAGTATGCACGCCCATGGGCTGCCACAGCCTACGGCACGAACGACGACGAACCCCCCTCTCTCGAAAACCGGGGGTGGGTGTCACTACTGGTTCGAATTCCCTTCCGTTCCCCTGGCCCATCATGAAAGGGGTGGGGTCACTACCGGTTCAAAGCCCCCTCCCCCCCCCCCTCATCGCCGCCGGCAAACGATGCCCGCTCTTCGGGACAGTGGGACAGTGGTGGAGACAGTGGGACAGCGGTGGGGACGGTGGTGGTGGGGCCTGGTGTGGGACAATGGTAGAGACAGCGGGGACTGGGACATTGGCTGGGACGGTGGTGGTGAGGACAGTGGCGAGGGGACAGTGGGACAGTGGTGGGGACAGTGGGGACAGTGGGACAGTTGTGAGGGTGGTGGTGAGAACGTTGGTGGGACAGTGGTACAGTGGGGACAGTGGTGGGGACAGTGGAGACATCGGGACAGTGGTAAGGACAGTGGGGACAGTGGGACAGTAATGGGGACAGTGGGGACAATGGGACAGTGGTGGGGACAGTGGAGACAGAGGGACAGTGGTGGGAACAGTGGGGACAATGAGGAGGGTGGGACCGTGGTGGGGACAGTGATGGGGTCAGTGGTGGGGTCAGGGGGGCAGTGAAACACTGAGGGGGGGGCACGCGACAATGGTGGGAACAGTAGGGACATTGGGACAGTGGGGACAGTGGGACAATGCTGGGGACGGTCGTGGTTTGGACAGTGGTGTAGGGACACTGGGAACAGGGGGGACAGTGCGATAGTGGTGGGGACGGTGGTGGTTGGGACAATGGTGGGGGCGGTGATGAAGACGGTGGTGGGGACTGGAGTCGTTTGCCGGCGGCGAGTGTGGGGGGGGTTCGAACCGGTAGTGATACCCCCCCCCCCCGGTTTTTTTTGGAGAGGGGGTGGAGGGGTTCGAACCGTAGTGAATCCCCCGGTTGTCCGGAGAGGGGAGGGGAGGGTGGTTAGGGGGAGGGGGAAGTTTTGTCGGGGAAGGAGGGGGGGAGGGGGGTGGGGTTCGAGCAGGGGGGGGGGGGTCGGAGGGGGGGGGGGACCTCGGGCTCCAGAGGAAGAGCGGGGGGGGGGAATTTCCACAGTAGAGCGGCGGTGGATCACGCTCTCGTCCAAGGTTTCGTGAGCTCCAAAACCAGAAAAAAAACGCAACAACCAACGCGCCTGGCAAGGTTTGGCCAGCAAACAGCAAACAACGCTTGGTCAGGTTTCCTGAGCTTCAAGACCAGAAAATAAACAAGAAGAACCAACGCCTGACAAGGTTTTGTTTGTAGGCTCCCGTACCAGACAAGCCAGGAATACCAACGCCTGGCTGATTCTCCTGAGCTCCGAGACCAGATCAGCTAGAACAAACAACGCCTGGCCAGGCATCGTGAGCTCTCGGGCGAGCACGGGACGAGAACCTCTCAGGCGAGGAAGACGCGAGGATAGACAAATTGAACGTTCGGTTTCCGAACCCACCAACACGTAGATCTTGGGGTGCAGCCATATATATATATATATATATATGTGTATACACACCTATATATACATATATATATAGATATATCAACATGTGTATAGATATACATACATACATACATACATACATACATGCATGCATGCATGCATGTATGCATGCATACATACATACATACATACATACATACATACATACATACATGCATGCATACATACATACATTCATACATACATGTATACATATATACATACATACATACATGCATGCATGCATGCATGCATGCATGCATGCATACATACAAACATCCGTGCATGCATGCATGCATGCATGCGTACATACATACATACATACACGTATATGTACACATAATCATTTTGTTCGAAGTGGTCGACGCAAAATCAGCGTTGTTGTAGTCGGAATGCAAATCATGTATAGCTAGCAAAGACAAACATCCCCTTTCCAGCATTTGCACCACACCCCATTATACCACACCCCTCTTCGACTCCCGAGTGTCCGAGCAAATGAGGTCGGATGATCGCGCCACACCGCCGACGGGTCGGCGATGCGGCTCGATGTGGAGCCCGATTCTCTCCACGCCGACACCGCCAGTGCATTGCCGTGGAGCCCGATTTTCTCCACGCCGACGTCGCTGGCGCATCGGTGATGCATCGTCGATGCGGCGCGATCCTCCGGCCCCGTCTACTCCGACCCCATCTTGGAGGCCTCGAGGCACGACGGCGGGCGTCGCTGCAAGAAGTGCTCGCCTTGGCACAGGGAGGGGGTCTCCGAGAGGCCTCGAGCTGCTTCCCCAGACGTGCTCGCGCCGTGCAAAACAGAAGCACGGCCGAGGGCCTCTGGCCGCTCTCGGCCGCCAGGGGGGTCCTCACCGGGCCCCAGGCCGTCAACAGAACGACGCGGGATCAGCAACCAGCTCCGGGGAGAGGCTCGGGACTTGCGGAGACACCGTGCCGAGAAATCAGGGCGCCCCATGCCTGGGTCGGAGGGCAGCGACGACCTCGATGCTGGGCCTTCGATCCTCGAGCACCGGAGCAGCTTCGGAGGGGCTCGATGTATCCACGACGTCGCTTGGTCGGCCACCGGAGCCACCCGCTTTAGCGATGGAGCTCGGTTCAGAGACCTTCCAGTATCCAACATCGTTGGAAGTCGGGGTGTCTACAATGTTGGCCCTGGGATATTACAGGGAGGATCCCCCTCGGCCTCTCCCAGGGGTGGAGGGCGAACGGTGCTCCCAGCGGCGAAAGATCTGTTATCATTTCCCCGGTGGCTGCGGAGCTGCGACGTTCCGGTTCTTGTTGCCTGCACCGATTCGCGTGATGTCGAGGGACGTGGTTCCGGCGATCTTGGGCCGCTCCAACGTGTCCCATCCTTGTCCCAGCGGCCTGTCATACAGTCGGGGCCCTGAAGAAGGAACCCTTTTGGTTGGGGAGGGGCTCCGCGTTCCTTAAGTGTTTCACAGCTTGCCTCAGGTTTTCCTTATGTCTTCGATCGGAAATCGACGTTTAACTTATGGAAAAAAGGGGCCTCGTTCCTTATTTAGGGTTCCTTAGATCAACGCCCCGACTGTACGCAATCTTTGGCCCCGCGTCACGCCGAGGCCCCCCCATGGGCGGCCGACTCGACCACGCGGCGTGTAAGTACTGCAGAGCTCCCCGGAAGCCCGCGCCGCCCCTCGACGGCGGGCGCCGTGGCCGCCCCCGCCTCTCGCCCTCTGATGCTCCGACCTGCTGCAGCCGGGGGCACCGGAAAGACCCTCGAGCGCCGCGGTGCTCGAGGGTCTTGCCGGTGCTCCTGGCCTCAGCAGGTCGGAACATCAGAAGGCGAGGCCCTCCAGTTTCGCTACTGCCTCGCGAGGGCCCTCCAGTTTCGCGAAGGCCTTCCAGTTTCGCTACTGCCTCGCGAGGCAGTAGCGAAACTGGAGGGCCTCCGCGTGTCGGGCCCCGGGAGGCGGTGCTCGCGCGGCGCTCTTCCGATACCTCTTTCGGGGTGCTCGGGATCACGTCTGGGCCGTGTGCCTCAAGCACGCTGGGAGCAGCACAACCCTCGTCCCTCGCCTCCCTCGGGCCGGACGAAAGGGGGGGGATTGGGAAAGGAGGGGTCACGAGATCTGCCGCCTGCGGCTGGCTTCGGCCCCACCGAGGGGTCCCTTCCTCGATACACATGGCCGCCTCCGGCGCCGGGACGCGCCGGAAAAATCAGCCACGCGAGCTGATTCTCAACCCCCCCCTTTGCTATCCCCCCCTTTCGCCCTGCCCGGCTTCTCTCTGGTTCTCCGTCGCACCGCCGCCGCCGCATCGGCCGTGCCCGCGCTGGCCGACGCGCGGCCGCGCGCCCAGCCCTATAGGGCACGCAGCGGGCCCACGCGCAGGAGCGACGCCCTTCGCCAGAGGTGTCCTCTGGGCCGCGGCTCTCGGCGGGGCGTGGCGGCTGGGGGGGCAGTCCTGCTGGGCTGACCGGCGGGGTTTATTAGTGGGCAGGGGGGTTACAAGTGGACGCTGAGGTGCCTTAAGTAGCTTAGGGGGCTTGGCGATCCGGGCTGAGGGGGCTCCGCCCACTTAGTCGGGGTATCTAACCCCCCGAAGCCACTCGGGGCACTTGTAATCCACTTATTAGCCAGGTTGGGCCAGATATGACCCACCTTAGCATCCACTTGTAACCCCCATATCCACTTAGAACCCCCCACGGTGGAGGGCTGATAGCACTCTGAGGCGATCGCGAACATGGATCAGGGGGGCGTGGAGTAGCGACGGTTCCCGTTTCGACGGTCCATCGCGGAGGAAACCGGCCGCGTTTTGGGGAGGGCACCTCCCCGGATCCATGGATTTGGCGACCGCGCGCCAAATCCATGGATTGCTAATCCATGTTTGCGTGCCCCCAGCATTCTGCCGTCCCTCGACTCGCGCGGGAGCGCCCACGACGTGCTCCAGACTTCCCCAGAGATCTATGGATGCTCCTCGACTCATCCTGGATGATGCTCGATGTACGTGGATGCTCGGCTTGATCCCCGCAAGTCGCGAGGCGAAACGTCGTCAAGCCTTTCGGGAGCCAGGCCCGAGACGGAGCCAGGATGAGGACAGGTCCAGTTGAGGACAGACCGGGGATCTCTGAGTGCCGGCAGGTCCGGCCCAGAGCGTTCTGGAACGCCCGCGAGCATCCTGGAACGCTCTGGAGCGACTCAGCCGCACCCCGGGCCTGCCCGGAGCACACTCACTGCCGGCCAGCCTCTTGCCGCCGCATCGCGTGCAACGACCGGCACGCCGCGCACCCACAGGCCGCTCGTGCCTGGGGCCGCCCGTGCGTGCAGCCAGCCACGAAGGCGCAGGGCGCAGCGGTGCACGAATTCGGGCCATGGCACCGGCCAGCCTACGAGAAGCAGAGACCTGTTGCCAAGAGATTTGAATCGGCTCCACGGCGCAGACCCCCTCCTCCTCCTCCTCCTCCGCCTCCTCCTCCTCCGCCTCCTCCTCCTCCTCCGCCTCCTCCTCCTCCTCCTCCCTCTCCCCCTCCTCCTCCTCCTCCTCCTCCTCCTCCTCCGCCTCCTCCTCCCCTCAGCTCTGGGCGCCGCCGGGCCGTTTGTTCTTACCGTTCGGCCTTTGGGGCCGGGCTTCCTGGCCCCAGGAGCTCAAGGAACGGTTTGGGGTGGAAAGCCCGCCCCGGGGAAGGGGGCCGAGATTCCAGGTGGATGGCGTCACGACACAGCTGCGGCGCCAAAGGAGCGGGTCCTGGTTCTGCCTCTTCCTCTTCCATTTGTTCCTCGCTCATCCTCCTCCTCCTCCTTCTCGCTCCTCACTCCTCGCTCCTCACCCCTCCTCCTCCTCCTCCTCCTCCTCCTCCTCCTCCCTCCTCCTCCTCCTCCTCCGTCCTCCTCCTCCTCCTCCTCCTCCTCCTCCTCCTCCTCCTCCTCCTCCTCCTCCTCCTCCTCCCCTCCTCCTCCTCCTCCTCCTCCTCCTCCTGCTCCTCTTCCTCCTCCTCCTCCTCCTCCTCCTCCTCCTCCTCCTCCGCCTCCCCCTCCTCCTCGTCCTCCTCCTCCTCCTCCGCCGCCTCCTCCTACTGCTCCTCCTCTCCTCCTCCTTCTCCTCCTCCTCTTCCTCCTCCTCCTCCTCCTCCTCCTCCTTGTCCTCTTTGTCCTCCTCGCGTTGGTTGGAAAACTGTCAGACTTTTGGGCATTGAACGCAAGGCTGTTTTTGTTCCCGCACGTTGCGGCCTCACTGCAGCTGTGTGGGACCTCGCGGGCCACTTTCCTGCGCGCGCGCGCCGGGCGCCTCTTTCGACTGCGCCGCAGGCGGGCTGCTTGCCTCGGCCCATGGACTGCAGCCACGACGCTGAAATAAGGACCGCAGTGCTCTCAAGCGGGTCTCTGGTCTTCGTGCCGCTCCTCAGATTTAGGCCAGGCCTGCATCGACGCTGGTGCCCCTTCTCCTCCTCTTCGCTCCTCGCTACTCACTCCTCACTCCTCACTCCTCCTCCTCCTCCTCCTCCTCCTCCTCCTCCTCCTCCTCCTCCTCCTCTCCGTCACTCCTCACACCTCCTCCTCCTCCTCCTCCTCCTCCTCCTCCTCCTCCTCCTCCTCCTCCTCTGCCTCCTCTTCCTCCTCTGCCTCCTCGTCCTCCTCCTCCTCCTTCTCCTCCTCCTCCTCCTCCTCCTCCTCCTCCTCCTCCTCCCTCCCCCTCTCAGCTGCCGCGGGCTCCCGGGGGGGGGCTCGTCCCGCCGCGCGATTCGGAGCAGCGCAGCGGCGGGGAGCTCATGGGATGGTGGGAGCCTGGCGCATCCGAGGCGCGCTGGGCCCACTCGGAGGAGGCGCAAGCGGCGCCGTGGCGGGCTCGCCGACAGCCCGTCACGCCTCCCCGTCGGCGCGGAGTGGTGGCGGAGGCGGTCGGTGCGGCAGTGCAGGCCGCGGTCGAGGTGGCGGTGGCCAACCAGCAAGTGCAAGTGCTGGCGCCCTGCAACGCAAGGCGGACATCGCGCCCCAGGCCGACCGCGACGCCACAGCTGGCGATCTGCAACGTGCCGCACAGTCCGCCACCTGGCGAGTGGAGGCGCCCGCCCTCGCCGCCGTCGAGGAGTTCGGCGCGGCGGAGCTCTTGGCACTTGCGTGCTGTGCGCACGGAAGTGCGAGCGCCGTCGGGCAGAAGGCGTACTCGGACAAGCTCGCAGTCCAGCCGGCGGGTGGAGGCCAAGAAGAAGAAGAAGAACAATAAGAATAATATGGAAAAGAAAAAGGACCCACACGAAGGACAAGAAGGACCAGAAGCCGAAGGATCGCAAGGTCCACTCACGTTCGAGGAGGAGGAGGCCGAGGTCGCCGGAGTCGCCTCCATCGGGCTGGCGCGGAGCTAGACCGCAGGCATCGTGAGCTGCCCTGGCCACCTGAAGGAGGGCGCGGGTGGCAAGCGCGGGAACCAGGAGGAGGAGCTCGAGGTCAAGGACAAGAATTCAAGGAACTGGAGCTGGAGGAAATCCCGATCTTCCCGACGCTGCAGGTCGACGGCACGAAGGAGGTGCGGCGTCTCAACGAGGAGGCTTTCAACAAGCAGCTGGCGGCTGCCGAGGAGCGCGAGGCGCAGTGGCGGCTGGCCAATGACAAGGTCATCCAGAGCTACGTCAAGCGCGGCGAGGCCGAGGGGGCGCGCAAGCTTGAGGTGGACATCAGCGGAGGCGAGGACGGCGATTTTGAAACGGATGAGCTGCACGGCTCGCGCGGCGGTGGCGACTCCAGTGAGTTGCGCGACGCTGGAGGCGAGCAGATCAAGTTTGGGGAGCTGGACTTCAGCATCTACGAGGACCCTGGCAAGGAGGAGGGGCAGCCGTCGGAGGATCTCAGGCAGTTCGACGTCGACGTCTTCGCTCTCTTCGAGCGGGCGGTGCAGCACGACGCCTTTGAGGGCGAGCGCTTCACCGTGGATGACTTCAGGGCCTGCCCGGCCCGCAACTTCGGCAGCGAGGGCTCGAGTGGGTCAACTGGAGCGTCTGCGTCATGATCCACAAGGTGGAGTTTTACGACTCCTGGCGGAGTCGTGGAGCTCGAAGAGCTTGAGGGCTGCTTCGAGGGGGGCCCCTCCTCCTGGCGTGCTCCTGGCGGGTCCTGGGGCTGGGGGGTCTCGTTTTCATTTTGGGCTGGGCCTGCGGGTTTGGCGTGGCCCTTTTGGGCCTTCTGTCGCCAGGGGCACCTCTGGGGGTTGGGGCCTCTTCGGGGCGGCGGCGGCGCGCGGCCGCGTGCCGAGGGGCGGTCGCCGAGGGGCCGTCCGCATCGTCATTATCTTCATTACCCTCCCGCCCCCTCTCCCCCCCCCTCCCCCGCCCCCCCCCCCCCTCGCCCTGCTGCCCTCCTCCCCCGCCTTCATCCGGGGGGAACTTATTCCTTGCTGGGGCTCGCCGAGGCCACGGAAGTTCCATCCTTCTTGTTCAGCGGTGCCCATGGAAGCACGACGGCCGTCGGGCATCGCGCGTCATTTCCCGGATTGCGCGCCTCGGCCCGTGGATTGCGATTGGCCGTGGGAGGCCCGGTGAGTTGGCGGCTTCCAGCTCAGGGTGGCCCACAGCTTCATCATGCGGTGGCCCGCCGACGTCCTCGGCCCGCTCCGTGGCGCTGGCCGCTGGCGAGCATGCCGATCCCCTTTTCGGATCTCGCCCGCGGCCGAGCCGAGGCTGGTCGATCTCCGCCGCTCACGAGGTGCATGGTGTTTCGCGCCCGCGGGGCCAGCTCGAGGCCGGGGCGCGGTGGCGGCGTAGCCTTGCGCCTCTAAGCGCCGCCTGGCGGGCCCCGAGTGCTGCTTGGCAGGCTTGAGGTCGCGATAAGGCATTGGCGGCGCAGCCACCTGCCTCTGAACGCCGCATGGCGGGCCCTGTCTTCGAGCCGGTCCGAGGCTGGCGGTTGGCGGCGGCGGGGGCACTGCGGCTCGCTTCACGGGCGCCGCTGCCCGGCGCGCGCGCGTCGGCCGGGCGAGGACTGGCGGCCGCCGCTGCTTTTGCCGAGAGCGGCAAGCGAGAGAAGTGACACGCCGGCCTCTCACCCTCCTGTGTTCTCGCGAAAGTGTCGGCCTCCTCCGCTCACGGATCAGTGCAAGGACATGTGGAAAACCGGTTTTACCGCGCGGCCAGTTTTGATTTGCTCCCTCCGCACGGCGCACGATCGGCTCTTCGGTTGCCTGCCTGCGCCGCGCCGTTGGGGAGGAGTGGGCAAACGGCTTGAAGGCGACGTTTTCCCGCGCCGCCACTTCGCGGGAGGCCGGGCCTGGCCCCCAGCGGAGACTCACGCTCGAGGGCAGGGTGGGACGGGGGGGCTCCGCTTGGCCCCCCTCTGCTTCCAGGTGCTGCTCCGAGGGCCAGCGCGCAGGGCGAGCTGGCACGGTCGTCGTCGGTGGCGGCCGCGCGATTACCCGCGTCCGCATCGATGGCGCCAGGGCCGCGCGCGAAGCTCGCCTTCGAGCCATTCAGCACCATCGTGTGGGAGGGCTTCCTGGATGCAGCTCCGGTGCCGCGGAGGGATGGCGAGAGTGCCCAGTCGAGCCGTCTTCTCCCCCCACGGAGATCCTCTTCGGTGCCCTCTCCTCGACGGCAGCATGCTTGAGTCCGTCAAACACGGACCTGCCCACCGTCGCTGTTGATAGCGACATATTGCCTAAAGGCCTAGACGCCCTCAGCCGAAGGCCGAGAAAAGCAGTATGCGGTAAAGAAGAAACGGCCCAGAGCAGCCTCGTGGCCACCCCAGGGCGAAGCCAACTGTGCAAAGCCTTGGCAGGGCAGCTCGCAGCCGAGGAGGAGATTGCGGCCACCGCACTTCCCAGGCCCCCGTCAGTGCGCAGGGGGAGGGGGCACCAACAAGTCCGGGAGATCAGCGTCGCGCTGATAAGACATGAAAGGGGCACGCTTCGGCGCCAGCGGGAATGAAGCTACACAAGCTGGATGTGGGCGAGCCCCCAGAGCAGAGGACGACGAGCAGGAACACGGGCCACTCCCCTTTCCCAGCCGCAGCCTTGCGCGAGCCGCCTGGGCAGACAGCAGCGGCGGGTTCCGCGCACCCTATGCCCAGCAGGCTGCCCCCCCCCGAGAGAGAGGGGAGCCAGCAAGGAGGCGTCGGCAGGAGGTCTGGCCCGGCGCTGCGTTTGCACAGGCGGCAAGTTGCCACTGGCCTGGACATCCTCGGCCGAAGGCCGAGAAAAGTATTGATAGGTGGGGAAGGGGAAGAAACCGGCCACTAGGGGTCCACATGCGAACCCTACCCCTACCCCCCACGACTTCTGAGGAGGAGGGTGGGGGTTCACTTCGTTCGGGAGCTCCCGAGCGAAATGAACCCCACCCTCCGCCTCAGAAATCGTGGGGGGTAGGGGTAGGGCTCGCATGTGGCCCCCTAGCCAAGAGTCGCCTAAGGCCACTCCCGGCCGGAGTCAAAAACAATGGGACGACCCCCCGCGGCGATGTAAAACACCAACTCAACCTAACAACCAGCTCGGTTCCGAGTCTGGCGAGGGGAGAGGAGAGGGAGGGCCAGGATCGCCGCGGGGGTTGCGAAATAGATAGGGGGGTTTCACAAGTGGATGCTAAGGTGGGTTCTATCTGGCCCAACCTGGCTTGTCAGTGGGTTACACATTCCCTGGGCGGGGGGTAGATAAGTCCGATAAGCGGGTGGAGCCCACTTAGCCCGGATCGCTAACCCCCCCAAGCTACTTAAGGCACTTGTGGCCCACTTGTAAGCCAGGGTGGGCCAGATAAAAGCCACTTTGGCATCCACTTGTACCCCCCCCCCTATCCACGTAGCAACCCCCGCGGCGATCCCAGAAAGGCCTCCCAAATGCGGATCCCGACCTTGCACGCCAACACCTGCTCCCGGGACCGGGCGTGCGGCGTCGACGCGGATCGGTGGGTGACCCAGCCCGTCTCGGCGGCGACGCGGGGTTGACCCAGAGCACCGACGTCCTGATTTTTTCATGGCGTCGACCCCCAAAGGTCTCGACCCCTTCCCCGGGACTGGTTTCTCATCATGAGCCGTTTGTTGACGGTCCCGAGGCCATGTGAGTGCCCCCAGAGGCCGAACATATACTGGGATGACCGTCGGGGTTTCTAAGTGGATAGTTACAGGTGGACGCCAAGGTGGTTCATGACTGGCCCAACCTGGCTTATAAGCGGGCTACAAGTGCCTTAAGTAGCTTAGGGGGGTTAGCGATCCGGGCTAAGCGGGCGGAGCCCACTTCGCGGAGCTGTCAAACCCCCTTGAGCCACTCGGGGCACTTGTAACCCACTTCTAAGCCAGGTTGGGCCAGATAGAACCCACCCGAGCCTCCACTTGCGAAACGCCCCTATCCACTCAGAAACCCCCCACGGTCTTCCCAGTGGAGAAGCCTTCCGTCGAGATTCTTTCATGGCCCCTCGAGGGGGGCTGGGGAGCCGCCCGCCAGTCCGCGTCGACGCCGCGCGCCCGGCCGAGGGCGCTGCGATCCGGCGCGCGCAGTGGCCGCGCTCTCGGCCCAGAAGCGCCGGCTGGCGGAGGCGGCGGGGCGCCCCCGCAGAACGGGCACTCGCTGGCGCCTCGGCCAAAGCGCGGCGGAGGCCGGGCGGCCCCTATCCGCGTCAGATCGCCAGCAAGCCACCCAGACCTCCAACGTCTCGAGGAACTCGAGGCGAAGGCTTGTCGCAGTGGTCGGCCTCTGGGTGGCCTCGCTGGGCCCCGGGGCCGTCAACAAAACGGCTCGGGAGGAAGAGCCGGCCCCGGGGGGGAAGGTCCAGGCCTCCGGGGAAGCCGTCTTATATACAGAAGCTCACGACGTCGGATGTTCGGGCAAGGCGGGCCTCCACCGGGTCCAGGGGGGCCCCGGAGGACGCCTCGAGATCGGTGTCAGGCCTCCCCTCTTCGTCGTGCTGGGGCCTGCGGGCGCGACCCCGGGGGAGCGGAGCGCGCGCACAGGCACGCAGGAGGTGCTCGCCGTGGGGGGAGGAAGCGTCGAAGAAGGGCGGGCCGCTGGAGGCAGCCGCGGCTTCGTCCACGGTGGTCGCCGCGCGAGGGTCGAGGCCAGGCCCAGGGGCAGATCCAGACGGCCAACAGCCCGGGGGGCGTCCGGGTGGGAGACCAGCCCGAGGGTCGCCGCGTGGGGCGACCGTGGGAGGCGGGCAGCCTGGCGGAGGGCCTGTGGGCTTGACCAGGGAGGCGGGGGGGGGGGGGGCACTCCGCGAAGGGGACAGCCCACCAGTGCGTCGAGGCCACAGACATGACCGCCGTCAGGGCGCGGATGCCCACGCTGCCTGGGATGTGGAGCAACTTGCGAGTGCAATCCTCGATGACCCCCCGATCGTCATGAGGGCCCAGGACCGGAGGGGAAGCGAGGTGGCTCCCGGGACACACCCGAATGCCCAAGTGTTCTCCGTCGACGGCGCGCCGCACGGTGCGAGCGAGGGCGAGGGTGGCCGCAGCGAGCAGCAGACAACGAGGATCGAGCACCGAGGATCGAGGGTCGAGCATCGAGGGTCGAGGATCGAGCATCGAGCATCGACCAGCGATGGCCGAACACCGATCCTGGCCAGGCTCGTCCTGAACCCTGGCCTGGGGCTGGCGCCCTGCCACTGGCCTGGACACCCTCGGCCCGAGGCCGAGAGAGGTCTGGGCACCGCCCTCGGCGACAGGCCAGGAGCCGCCTATGATGCCGCTCCCGGCCGGAGTCAAGAACGATGGGGCGACCCCTGGCAGCGAATGAAAGCGCTGCAGCTCGACCTAACAACCAACCCCAGGCATGATCGCGTCGCCCAAAAAAGTCAGGACGGGAGGTTTTCTGGCCAATTTCGGCCTCGGGGGGCCCTCGCCGGGCCTCGGGGCCTTCAACAAACGACGCAGGATGAAAAACCGGCCCCAGGGAGAGGGTCTGGACTTCAGGGGACGCCGCCCTGAAAAAATCAGGACGTCGTATGTCTGGAGACGCTTCCTCCCCCCACGGCGAGCACCTCCTGCGTGCCTGTGCGCGCGCTCCGCTCCCCTGGGGTCGCGCCCACAGGCCCCAGCACGACGAAGAGGGGAGGCCAGACATCGATCTCGAGGCGTCCTCCGGGCCCCCCCTGGACCCAGTGGCGCCGGGCTCTCACTACGACAGGAACTCGGTTCCGAGTCCGGCGAGGAGAGGGAGGGGGAGCAGGGTGGACGAGGCCGCTCGGGTCTCTCCGGTAGGGGCTCGGCCCCTCCGCTGGGAGCGGCGGCAGGGCGTCGGGGGTTCTGCCAGCTGCACGGCTCGCAGAGGAAAAGAAGATGAGCCCGGCGGGGCCCCAAGGAAGGGACAGCCGACTGCATGGGCGCCTCGCTGGGCGCACTGCTTGCCTGGGGTGACCGTGGGGGGCTCTAAGTGGATAGGGGGGTTGCAATCGGGGGCCCCCAAACGAGGTGGTGACCGCGCCGTGCGGTGCGTCGGTGGGGATTCAGTGTCGCCGCGCGGTTTTGGGACTCGAGTCCCTCTCCTAGGATGTCTCGGGCGACGGGGGCCTTCAGGGTCCCAAAAGCGTGCGGTTACGGATCGTGCGGTGAGGTCTTGGGGGATTTCGAAGTTATCGCACGGTCCGTCACCGCACCGCTTCGGGATTCGAAATACAAGTGGATGCTAATGTGGGTTAGTTCTGGCCCAACCTGGCTTATAAGTGGGCCACAAGTGCCCCGAGTGGCGTAGTGGGTTAGATAGCTCCGCTAAGTGGGAGGAGCCCACTTAGCATGGATCGTCAACCCGTAAGCCGCTCGGGGCATTTTGTGACCCCCATTTATATGCCAGGTTGGCCAGACATAACCCACCTTGGCATCCACTTGTAACCCCCCTATCCTCTAAGAAACCCCCACGGTCATCCCAGTGGCATTGCTTGGCATTGCTTGGCGTTGCTTTGCATGCGTTGGCATGGCCTTGCATTGCGTGGCATCGCTTGGCATCGCTTGGCATTGCTTGGCATTGCTTGGCATGGGGCAACCGGGGGCGGCGAACCCGAGGAACCCTGGGAAGCATTGCTTGGCATTGGTTGGCATTGCTCGGCATTGGTTGGCATTGCTTGGCATTGCTTGGCATTGCTTGGCATTGCTTGGCATGGGGCGGGGGCGGGGAATCCGAGGTTCCCCTGGGAACCCGAGGAACCAGGGGAACCCGAGGAACCTCCGAGGAACGGGCAGCGTAAGAATTGGAGACACCGGGGGCGAGGCACCCGGGGAACCCGAGGAACCCGGGAAACTTCCGAGCAACGGGCAACGTAAGACTCCGAGGCACCAACCTTAAACCAAGTAAGAACCCTTTTAGGCAAGCCTAATTGGGGAACAAAGTCGCGGGGCCTTGTGATCGAATGGCTTTCGGCCTATCCCGCCACCGTGCCTGGGTTGCGGGCCAGAGTCCTCAGGGATGCTTCTTGGGGCCTCTCGGGATCACTCTCCGGAGCCTCTTAGAGGGGTGTTCGGAGGAGGAGGAGGAGGAGGAGGAGGAGGAGGAGGAGAACGATGATGAGAAGGAGGGGGAGGAGGAGGAGGAGGAGGAGGAGGAGGAGGAGGAGGGGGAGGGGGAGGGGGATGGGGGGCCCCTCGAGAGCCTCGCCTCGCGGCAGCCTCTTGGGGGGGTCCTCGTCCTCGCTGGCGCGTGGGCTCTCCAGCCTCGGCCCTATCGCGCGCAAGCGCCCTCGACTTTTTTGCTGCGCGGGCCTGCGAAGATCAAGTCGTTCTGCTCCTCGTGGGGTTGTCCTTTATCTCAGTTCTCCGTTATTGGCGGTTTGGTAGCACTGTCTTTTATAATGTCCTGAGCATTATTTTGCAGGCTCTCTCCCCCCGCCGTTGGGTGCCTGGCTAAACGTGGCGGACAGAGCGTGGAGTTCAAAAAAAAGAGGCGGGCGGAAAGCGGAGCGCGTCTGTGCCGGCCTCCAGGGGGGGGGGTTGGGCGTGCGGGCTGGGGCTTCCTCGAGGCGGGCCCGGCCGGGGCCACGACGAGGGCACCTCGGGGTGCCAACGATATCAGCAGGTGAAAACTCACCACCACCTCCCCCAGTCCCGACTCCCATCCCCGAGCGGGCGAGTCAAGGGGTCGGGACTGGGGGTGGGGGCGTTTCCTCCCTTCTTAGTCCCCGGAGAGCCCACCCCCACACCCGGAGCCCGACCCCCTGGATCGCGGGTTGGGGGATGGGGTCGGGATTGGGGGCGGGGGTGGGTTGTCGCAGTTTCAAAAGAGCGTCCACGGACATCGATCCTCTGCCTGCACGTTTGACGCGACGTTTCTTGGGGCGCGTCCTGGCTCAAAGTCGGAGGCGGACCCAGTCGTTCCGACCAGGGCGCCCCAGGAGCCCCAACTCCATGTGTAACTATATATATATATATTTATATATATATATATATATATATATGTTTATGTGTGTATGTGTGTGCGTGTGTGTGTATAGAATTACGTGTATCGAACTGTATATATACACCGATTTTACTTCCTCCATCATCAGTCCTTGTGCCTCGGTCTTCAAGTCCTCTCCATGCTGGCCCCACTGGTGGTCGGCCCTCTCTCTCTTTCCCCTAGAACCACTGTCGTCCATCTTGGATCTTCGATCCCCGACCATCGAACGTCTATCCGCGAACCTCGAGCCTCGAACTTCGACCCTCGATCCTCGATTCACGATCCTCGAACCTCGATCCCCGATCCTCTGATCTCGATCTGACCCTCGAGACTCGACAGCTCGGTCTTGGAACCTTCGAACCTCGACCCCCGACCCTCGTCCCTCTTGGTCCCCGACCCTCGACCCTTTCGACCCTCTCGATCACCAACCCTCGACTCTCGACCCTCCAGCCTCGACCCCCGACCGTGGATCCTAGACCCCCGAACCTCCGAACCTCGACCCCCTAGGGAGGAGCGCCGCCAGATGCTGCTGAAGTTGCCCCTCCTCAACCTCCCCCTCCTTCTCCTCATCCGCGTCCTCCTCCTCGTCCTCCTCCTCCTCCTCCTCCTCCTCCTCCCCTCCTCCTTCTCCTCCTCCTCCTCCTCCTCCTCCTCCTCCCACTCTTCCTCCTCCTCCTCCTCCTCCTCCTCCTCCTCCTCCTCCTCCTCCTCCTCCTCCTCCTCTCCCCCTCCTTCCATCATCGTTCTCGTCCTCCTCCTCCTCCTCCTCCTCCTCCCCTCCTCAATCCTCCTCCAACTCCCCCTCCTCACTCCCTCCTCCTCCTCCTCCTCCTCCTCCTCCTCCTCCTCCCCCTCCTCCTCCACCCCTCCTCCTCCTCCTCCTCCTCATCTTCCTCCTCCTCCTCCTCCTCATCCCTCCTTGTCCCTTCTCCTCCTCCGCCTCCCCCTCCTCCTCCGTCCCCTCCTCCTCCTCCTCTCCTCCTCCACCTCCTCCTCCTCCTCCTCCTCCTCCTCCTCCTCCTCCCACTCTACTCTTTTTTTCCTCCTCCTCCCTCTCCACCTCCTCCTCCTCCTCCTCCTCCTCGCCCTCCTCCCCTCCTAACTCTTCTCCTACTCCTGCTCCTCCTCCTCCTCCTCCTCCTCTCCTCCTCCTCCTCATCATCATCATCATCATCAGCATCAGCTCACCACTCATCATCATCTCATCATTCATCATCATCATCATCATCATCATCATCATCATCATCATCATCATCCATCATCATCATCATCCTCTCTCATCCTCATCCTCATCCTCAGTTCCTCATCCTCATCCTCATCCTCATCGCTCATACTCCTCCTCCTACTCCTCCTCCCTCCTCCTCCCTTCTCCACCTCCTACTTCTCCTCCCTCCTCTTCCGCCTCCCTTCGTGCCTCCCCCCTCAACCCCTCCATCCGCCTCCTCATCCTCTCCTCTCCTCCTCCCTCCTCCTCCTCCTTCTTCCACTCCTCCTCCCACTCCCTCTCTCCTCCTCCTCCTCCTCCTCCTCCTCCTCCTCCTCCTCCTCCTCCTCCTCCCCCTCCTCCTCCTCCCTCCTCCTCCTCATCCTCCTCCTCCTCCCTCCTCCTCCTCCTCCTCCTCCTCCTCCTCCTCATCCCTCTCCTCCTCCTCCTCATTTTTCTCCTCCTCCTCCTCCGCCTCCTCCTCATTATCCTCCTCCTCCTCCACCTCCTCCTCATTCTCATTTTTCTGCTCCATTCCTTCTCCTTATTCCTCTTCCTATATTTTCACAAGCCCGGGCGGGGGGAAAACCCTGCGGGGGGGAAACCCGTCCCCCCGGCGCCCCAAACAAAAAACCCCCCCCAAAACCGGACTCCCGGGATCTGGGCTTTGGGACCCTCCGGACGGGCCTCGAAGCGGCCCCCCGGGCCTCGCAGGGCGTTTTGCCAAGCCTTCCCAGCACACCTAGGGCGATCAGGGGGGTCATCGGAGACGTCCCAGAGACCCCCAAGACAGCACAAGAGCGCTCCAAGAGTGACCGACGTGACCTCAAGATGGCCCAAAAGGCCTCCAGGACGGCCCCAAAGAGGCCTCCAAGAGCACCCCAAGAAGGCCCCAAGAGGCACAAATATTTGATTTTCTGTTGGTTTTTGCTGAATTTGGGGGTTCTCCTTTTTTCGGCTTCCCGACACTCCAAGACAGCGGTCTTCTGGGCGTCCGAAGCCGCCTGGGAGGCTCCAACATCGCCCCACAACCATCCGAAAGGGCTTCCAGGCAGTCCAAGAGAGCCCCCAAACGGCACAACACGGGTCCAACATGGCCCTCAGAGAGCCCCATGGCGGCCCAAGATGGCCCCAAGACACCCTCCGAAGCATTCCAAATCGTGACCCGGTCGTTCAGGGAGACCGCGGTTGGAGGCAGGGTGGCCCGAGGAAGCCCCAGAGGCCCCCAGAATACGCCCAGGAGGCCTCCAGAAGGCCTTAAGAAAGCCTGAAACAACTTTTGTGAGGCCCCCAGAGGCTCTCCCAGGAGGAGCCTCCGCAAAAAAGAGCTGAGGAGGATGGGGAGAATGCGCAGGGTACGGCGAAAGTAAGGAAAAATAAGCATGGAGGAAGGATAACGAATAACATTATCATAGCGGCGATGCCGGAAAAGGCAACAAGGAGTTATCCCTAAATTGTCGGCTTGACCTTCCTGCTATTCCGCCTGCATACCAAACTTCAAGGACCAAGGTGCATGGCGCGAAGCACCACTGCAGTCTTGTGTATATATATATATATATATATAGAGAGAGAGAGAGAGAGAGAGAGAGAGAGAGAGAGAGATCCTCCCTGTCGCACCCCGAGGCCAGTTTTTAGGTCGAGCCGGGCGTTTCGCCTGATACTTCCTCACCGTGTATGACTCTGGAGCTTAAAAGTGACAATAGCTTCGCAGATGGAGGGCAAGTCCCTTTAAAATGTGGTTCTCGCCTTAGCGCCGCGCGCATTCGTTTTAAACATTTGCAAGGGCTTCACGGATTGAGGGCAGTTCGTTTTCAAAATGTGGTTCTCGCCCTAGCGCCGCGCACATTCGGTTTAACCATTTACAAGAGTTTCACGGGTTGAGCGCTGGTCGTTTCCAAAATGTGGCTCTCGCTTTAGCGCCGCGCACATGGATTTGCTTCAAAAGAAAAACACAACACAACGCCAGGGTTTCACGGTCTGAGGGCGGATCGTTTCCAAAATGTGGCTCTCGCCTTGGCGCCGCGCACACTCGTTTGAAGCAGTTACCAGATTTCACGGATTGAGGGCGGGTCGTTTTCACAATGTGGTTCTCGCTTTTAGCGCCGCGCACATTCGTTTTAAACATTTGCAAGGGCTTCACGGATTGAGGGCGGGTCGTTTTCAAAATATGGCTCTCGCTTTGGCGCCGCGCACATTCGCTTTAAACTTGTACAAGAGCTTCACGGATTGAGGGCGGGTCGTTTTCAACATGTGGTTCTCTCTTCAGCGCCGCGCACACTCGTTTTAAACATTGGCAAGGGCTTCACGGATTTCCATGTTCAACGTAGCAGAAATGGTGTTTTGGAAGGGTTCAGGATTACGTATGCGGGCGCGACAGGTGTGTTGATTCGTTGTGTTGAATGTCCAAACAAGGCGTTCTGGTACGGTCCTGGATCGTCAAGACGCAGCAGTCAGGTTGATATGTGGCGTCGAAATCCCGATGAGAATGTTTTCGCGCGCTTCAGGATCTTCAAACTGCTGTCTTCCAACGAGGCAGTTCCCTCAATGGAAATGAAACGGTGTGGGGGCCTATGAAGAGGGAGCTTGGGGGGAGGGTTACAGTAATTCCAACATCGTTGATGACTCTTGGGTTCCACTGGTCCTCCTCCTCCTCTTCCTCGTCCCCCTCCTCCTCCTACTCCTCCTCGTCCTCGTCCTCGTCCTCCTCCTCTTCCTCCTCCTCCTCATCCTCCTCCTCCTCCTCCTCTTTCTCCTTCCACTCCTCCTCCCACTCCTCATCCTCCTCCTCCTCCCTCCTCCTCTCAGTCTCCTCCTCTCTTCCCCCTTCTCCTCTCACTCCTTCCTCCTCCCACTCCTCCTTCTCCTCTCCTCCACCTCCTCCTCCTCCTCCTCCTCCTCCTCCCGCCTCCCCCTCCTCCACCTCCTCCTCCTCCCTCTCCTCGTCCTTCTCCTCCTCCTCCTCCTCCTCCTCCTCCTCCTCCTCCCCTCCTCGTCCTCCTCTCCCTCCTCCTTCACTCCTCTGTCTCCTTCTCCTCCTCCTCCGCCTCCTCCTCCTCCTCCTCCTTGTCTCGTCCTCGTCCTCGTCTTCCTCCTCCTACTCTTCCTCCTCCTCTTCTCCTGCTCCTCTCCTCCTCCTCCTCCTCCTCTCTACCCCTCCTCCTCCTCCTCCTCTCCCCTCCTCCTCCTCCTCCTCCTTGTCCTCCTATTCCTCCTCCTCCTTTCCTCCTCCTCCTCTTTCTCCTCTCACTATCCTCCTCATCCTCCTCCTCTTCGTCCTCCTCCTCCTCCTATTC